TATCTATACTACTATATAAAGCTGAAGAGTTTATTTTTTTGTTTGAACGCGCTAATCTCAAGAACTACTGGTTCGAATTGAAAAAATATTTTTGTCTTGGATAGTCAATTTGTTGAGGAACACCATATGACATATTGCAAAGGTGGAACGCAGACGAAGTTGCGCGGGTCAGCTAGCATATTATAAAAATGTGTGATGAAACAAAAACTGTCTGTTTGTCTGTTTATCTGCTTAAATTGACTTGAGGGATTATTTGTATTGCTCCAATGAGAGAAAATTAATTAATTTTGTGTACACGTTCAATACGTCACCTAAAAAATTTTAAATTATTATCAGACTCAGACACGCGCAATTTCGTATATTCTTAACTTAACCTAACTTTCACATATTTTCCCGGTTTTTGCAATATTTTCATCGCAGCTTGGCTCGTTCTTATTATCATAACGTGATAATATATAGTACATAATATTCGTCGATAAATGGGCTATATAACACTGAAAGAATTTTCAAAATCGATTCAGTAAATCCAGAGATTTTAGCCTACAACCATACAAACTTTATAAAATTAGTGTAGATTTCATTGATCAGATCACAGATGGACTCGTATAGATGTTAGTATATAGTATATACTATAGTAAAATACCTAATATAATATATAAATATAAACGTATACTCTAATAGTAAGGAATCTATCGTTATTTTAATTTTACAAAATAATATGATTTAAGAAATAATACTAATTATTATATATAGGAATTTCAATATAGAGACCAAGAAAACGACAGATGTATATTGAAAATATTTTGTTATAAAAATTCTTATACCAGTATACGTATATATATATATATATATTAATATATATATTAATAGTATTCAGTGAACATGAACTATATGTTACCTATGTAGTTCTCACAGTTGCCATGAAATATGTTGTGGCTAAGCAAACAATATTTCGGTAAACAGTTAGTAGAACTTTCGGTCCGCGCAACCAAGCGTAATATTACTTGACAACAAGACATCATGTATCTGAAGGTTACGATTATATAGTCTGGTGACCTTAACAATAATACCCCAAAGTCCTAGATAATCATCTAAATAAGGCCTCGTGGCTTAGTTGTATAAAATATCAAAGATATTAAGTTCTAAACTGAGAGATGCTAAAAAACTTTTTGGCTATGGAAATACTGATAACAAAACAACTTAATCCGAGAGAGAGGCGGTTCGATTGCTATCTGCCACGTGGGGTTCAAATTTATTCAGTAAGTTCAGTGTTGCATTCACCGTGACATCAACAGTGGATTTTTCTGAATATCTCTAAATACCTCATCTGTGATAACAGTTGTGGTGATTTATATCAGTTGTTGTGAATAGCTTTTCAGATAAAAGTTTTATTCATCTGAACTCTATAATAATAAAATATAATTCATAATAATAATATCTGTGTGTATTAATTGCCATTAAGGCAATGCATGTGTGGTATTACGGGTGACACTTGACAACGTGATGTCTGTAGTTCTTACCGCTTACCGTCAGGTGGACAGCCAGCTTGTTTCTCATTGTTACATAAAAAATAGATAGATAGATAGATAAAAATCTTTATTTGTATCCAGATAACACAAACAAAGAGAGTACAAACAAAATTCAAATTAACAAGTTTAAGAAAATAACACATAAGAATAACAATAATAATAATAAAAAAAAAACACAACACTTTAACTTACACATGAAATAAGAACATAAAATAAACATTAAAATACATATTAGGTGTAAAATACATATGCTACTCAGTGAACAATTTGCTCAACGAGCAAAACACTGATTTTCAGTAGCAGCTCAGCGGTGGTGCGATCGCGTGCAGCGACATATTTATATACTTACTATATACTTATAGTTTCTAAACCATTTCGAAAAGGTTTAGAAAGTGAACTAAGCGAAGATACAGATAAACGAAAACAACGGCTGTGCATACTATTTATAGATATTCCAACGCTGAATTCTCATTATCTTACTGAATACTAACGTTTCATTACACATGAGTTTTGCGGCTCGTCTCAGCTTCGAGACTTAGCTATCTCTAACACGGTTGTGATTACATTAATAAGTCGGATTATATGCTTCCTACGCTGTAAGCCGGTGTAATTGTTATGTTAGGAGTTAGTTCTACTATGAATGATTCAGCTGATCCTTTGAAAATGTTTCCTGATTAGATATTGTTATCACTAGCTAATCAAAAATATGTTTTATTATAAATTCGTATTTTAGTTTATAATTGCATACAAATACAGAGACAAACATACAAAATTCTAAGAATCATTGTTTTAGGTTTTACTAGTTTAGTATATTCTATAAAGTCCCCGATTAATAGTTTTCTTCATAATATATCTTACATGTACAGACAACGATCAATTTTACATTTCTGTATTAGAATAACATCGAAGTGTCAACTTAATTCTATTTTAGTTATTTTTACTACATCATAGAAAACAAGTAATCTGATACTTACTCTTACTGATCACGGTTACATGATAACGTGATGTCTGTGGTGCACTGCACTTGTATATATTTATATATCGGTGATGGTAACCGTCTACTATCAGTTGGGACGTCAGTTTGTTTGCCATTCCAATTATATGTATAAAAAAGGTGAGTAAGTAGTTACTGAGATACAATTTTCGGCAAATCGATTTTACTATATAGGATTATTATCTAATTAATTCTATTACACTAGTCTATTTTTAGTGCTATGTATATTTAAAATTTAGTACAATCATACTAACATTACTGACAATTTGCTTATTTTTATCGTTTCTAGCGAATTTTTGCGAAAAAGATTCAATGTACTCGTATAACAGACTTTTCGACCCTCAGGAATTTATTACAGTGTCCAGATAACGGGGCTAAAGCTGAAAAAGTAACAAAAGCTTAAAAAATGTATAGCGGGAGAGACCAACCCTTTATACGTAAGTTTTGTGAGGTGCCATGTGAAAGAGCCCTTAGAATAGATGATAAATATGCTTTATTTTTTAAATTCGACTTAAATAATTTATTACATTACAATAATGGTGGCGTTTTTATACATAAATTTATGTATTAAAAAATGTAGTTTATTATCCTATGCATAAAATTCAGAAGTACATATTACTGTAGAGCCTTACAATCATAGTTTTCCGACTGTGGTCTCGTTAGAAGCCTAAAGCAATGTATTTAAAAAAATGTAAATAAATGAATAAATTATTTGCCTTGTAACTGCAAGGGTTTAGGTCGACTATAGAAAGAAATAAAAGATATTCTATGGTTACTAATCAATGAAATTGCCAAATCAATACTAATAGAGATTAAAGTTCAGAACCACTATAGCAATTTGAGAAATTCTTCTACTGTTTGACAAGTACCAGAGTATCATAGCATACGACAATATACCTGTGTTGTTATGTAAACCTATTGTATATAAAACAAATAGTTAGAAGCACACGGTCGAAGCCGGATTGAATCACCAGTTAATATATAAAACGGAAATAAACACACGAATTTATACAGACTAGACAAGTTTATAATGAATTAGGTACGACGTATTCATAATTTAAAAGCAAGCATAATATTCAGCGGTGCAAATCTGAATACTGTTTTGCATCTATTTTAATGTTTACATAAACACCAAACCTGGACTTTAATTAAAACATCCGTATAATCTTATCAAGAAACTATAATATCCCCTTATTTTACAAAGTAAACATTAAATTTATATTTATACAATCCACTTTTATCTATTTACTTTTATACTTTCATTTACGTATAATAGATAGAAAAAATATTTACCTTTTCAAATCAATAAGGTATTTTTCCCTGTAGTTCGATGAACAGTAAATAGTCTTAGTAAATTGATAAAACCAAACTTAATAGTATTTTATATTAAAATACTATTAAGTTTGGTTTGGACTAAAGTTGTGTGTTTTAAAAGATACGGGAGATGATATGAAAATAGGCATATATTTAGGTATATAGGTATATTCATTATATCAGATTTAGATTTGTTTAAATTTTTATATATAAAAATTACGTGTCACGTTGTTTGTCTGCGATAGACTCCTAAACTGAACTGATTGCAAATTTGATTTGCACATTGTGTGCAATTTTATCCAATTTACAGATAGATAAGATAGCTTACATCTCAATCTACAGTTGCCATATTATTTTATTCAAGAATCTTAGCTACAGCAACGCGTGGCCGGGTCTGCTAGTTAAGTATAAAATAGAATAATAATATACAATACATAATATTGGAAAGAATAAAAAAAGAGAAATAGATGGAATTTAGCGTAGTTGGATAAAACTAAGAAGACTTAAATCAAAAGGAAATTGTAGCATAAAATCATATGATAATCCACCTACTCTTTCAAATGAATTATTTATGTTATGTATATTGTATCCGTTTATTTTTATTAAGCCGTTACCAACAAAATATGTTTCTGGTACGAGCAGTATTATGAAGGCTATGTAAATTAAATAAAGTTTCTACCTCACTTTTGTTGTTAGACATCCCATCCCATTCACGTTTCAAGTTGTTATTTTGAGAAGTGAAACAACAGAAATGTTGTAATGAGTTTCTGGAATGTACTGACTTTGCTGGAAGACATCATTTTTTCCATTGTCATATAAATAATTCTCGTACAATTGTATTTCATTATACCGAGTTAACGTAATCGCATCTATATGTGCTTGGTTGAAGCGATAATTTATTTTATTTGAATTCTTTTTACGTATATACTTTACATTTAGTTTAACAGGTTTATTTTCTAAACTGACATTGGAATTATTTTAAAATTGTCTTAAAAACATTTATGATTTTTGTTTGTAATGAAAAAGAATAAATCTAACAATGGTTAATCGATTTAAATAATTCTAATATGAAACTCGAGTCAGTAGGTAATATAATTAATATTTTATTTAAAAAAATAGCTCTTCATTTTAATAATAATATATGAAAATTACATGAAACATACCAAGATTATCAGCTCGGTGCAACGGAAACATTGTCACGCATAGCACGAAGAGCAGGCCTGCTTTCCGCGCCATGTTGGCACCACTCGTTGATTTTCATACGAGAATCAGTCCACTAAACACAATCCGCGCGAAACGAAACATTCCAAAATTGAATTTAAAAACTGAACACCGTGGAACATGCTGATTCGTTTCATAAGTTATCTGTTCTTCGTCGACGTTTCTATTATGTACCTGTGAAAAAATAAAAACTTATTATAACTTTTAACTTTGTTTTCATTATTTTGATTGATTGGTTGCACAGTTATAATATAAAAGTAGGATCCGGACTACTATGTTATCTAACATTGTTTAGAAATTTGAATTTCACTTGTCTTTAGGTGATATTTACAGTCGACAAAGAGTTAATTGTGTATATATATTTTAGCTAAATGTAATATACATTTATATATATTGGTATAACTAACCTAATTAAGGATACGGCAATGGGCTCGCTCCTTCTCCAGTTGGATTTCTTGAAGTAGAACAAAACTATTAACTTTGTAGTTAAGAAAATTAACGTTGCAAATTAGTTTCCACCTACTTAAACGGTATATATCTAAGGTTATACAATTTTCGTTTGTTATCTTTTTAGTAATTTTTATTATTATTTCAATATAGAAGTACATATAAATAATAGGTCAATAACCAGTAAGAAGTATCTAATAAATCTAGTAATATGTAATAAAAAATTAGGACAAAACCTTAACCATCTTTCAGTCCTCTCTTTTAATTTATTTCATTATGATGTAACATTAAAAACAGAGGCTAAAATTGTGAAATTTCCTCATTGTTTGACTGAAAGGAAAGATTTTCATTAACGGTTTGTTCGTTTTATGGATAGCGGTGTATCAAAATTGTTTATGATAGTAAATCATAGACATATTATTGTTTTGCATTTGTATAGAAACTACCTTTAATACTTAAGTGTTTAGGGTTACAGAATCCTAGTTTTACAAGCAATATCACTGATTATACATAGGAAAAGTATGTAATAATAACGAATGTAGAATAATATACACTCAGTCGATCGAATATCGGTAAGCACATTGAATCAGTCTAAAATTCAACTAAAAAACAGATTAATAAAAAACATAGATACAAAAAAAAAGTCAAATAAAAACATGTAATAAATCTCGAAAACAATAAATAGAATAGGATAGACTCAAACTGGCTTACAAGATAGGATTCACTACAAAAGTAGCCGAGTTAAATGACTCTCCGCGGATTAGTCGTTCTTAGTGAATTTGCTAGAGGCGTGCGATTGCCGACCAAAACATAAACAAGGAAAACCGTCAAACAATTTCTTTTATTCCTCACTACTTAGATTCCTTTTGAGTCCATGAAACTGAGAATCGCGCAAACAATGGACGATAACGGATATATTCGGATAGTAAAGCTTTTGATTTCCCGCCCATTGGCAGCAAAGAATAAAAACAATGGCCACGAATTAAATTCGAAATTCTTTGATGTGTACCATCATTTTCCATTATATGGGTGGATATAAATATATTCTAGTGATAACATACATTTATTCACTAAATTAAACAAGAAAATTCATGAGGTTTAATAAAAAGAATGCTTAATCAATTTAATACGTCTAAAACGAAACACATGAGGGTCATTAAGGAAATTTTTGATTTAAATAAAACTAATAAGCACATTATTTGATATGATTAGTTTCATAGTAAAAAACTGTATGTTTTTTAAATTAATAGACAATATTTTTATTTTTGTTCTTGATGCTGATTACATTATTTTAGTCAATTGGACTTCAAGCGCACTATTTCTGAACGTATGATATATAAAAGAAAAATAATAAACAACATTATAAAAAAATATTTTTTTTATTGATGCTGAATTTATTATTTTAATCTATCTAAAGGCGCCAATTCAGAACGTATCTATAAAACAAAACTACAAAGAAAAACATAACGTTAAGCCCAATTCGTATCGCGCTAATCATTCATTTAATCTTCTTTTGGCTGATACGTTGACATTCGTACTTATCGGTGTTGTTGTATTATTTTTGGCGACTTTTCAAATAAAGACTTACTATACGATACTCCGTAAATTACTTTTTCGATAAAATAAGGTGCCAAGCAACTTTGTTTATTAAAAAGTAAAAGTCTCGATTCTATTTTTAAATCGGTAAATCCAGAATTTAACTTAAAGCAAAAACAATCATTTCGAATGGTTGAACGATTTGAAACTAATCCTTTTAGAAGTTCTGCTAATAAGCGACACATTAGGTCATACATATATGTTACATAAAGAGTACATTTAATTTGTTTTCAAAGGTAAAACACATTATTAAATCGCGCGTAGTGTATACATTCCTTTTTAATGTAAGTACCTAAATAAAGTTTAATATGCTTCATGAAAGAGCCCAGTTTGCGTGCCATGTTACGCCTTTTCCAATATAATTCCACACTAAGTAGAAATTATCCAAGCTAACGATTATTGTATTCGTGCTATAAAACGCGCCGAGATCCCGTGATTGTTACTTGTATTATGATACAAGTATTGTTTCTGTTACGTGTCATGTTGTAAACATAAAATAAATTGTCACTGCATATAAGTAGTAGATATTGTCATTAATATTTTTGAGTAGTAGATATTGTTATATAGATATTTTTGACAATTAAGTTTCTATATAAAAAGAGGTTTTAATATTCCTGTGTTTTAATGACCTGTTTTTAATATTCAATTTTTGATTTTTACGTTTCTAATATTTTTCGACAAATATACTCTTTAATGCAGAATATTTTAATGATTTAAAATATTCTGCCTTTCCCAGCGTTATTAATTACCAAGGAAACCAAACAAAGAATAAAGGTAAAGTTAGGAAAGTGTAACTATTTTTGACGTACTTTTTAAGTTTTTTACAAAACGTATCTATTTATATTTAGTTAAATGGCATAAAAATAGCGCCATAGTCACGACAGATTAATACCACAATTTCATACAAAAATATTTTATTCCCTGCTATTACTACCATACCATTTCAAAATAAATAAATTAAAGTATGTTACGAATTCGAAAGTAATAATACTCATTTTCCTCATAGTAACTTTTATTTCTGGCCAGTAATAGAACATATTCTATTTTCAAAGTTTCATTGAATTTATTTTTTGTTCTGTTTCTTCAGCAATAGAATATTTTTATGTAATACAGGCTAGAATCTCCCGTGTTGCCGTTATTATATTGACATACCAATAAATAATGCTCAAGACAAAGAATTAATAACAATAAAGTAGTACTTAGAAAACAAAACACATCAGTTATTGGCATCGTAACCATTAATAACGAAGAAATGGCTAATGGCTAAGTGATTTCAATAAATTATTATGTTGTTTGCCGTCCAGATACGATCATTTGTCTAACCTATTGTACTTGTGTCTACCAGGAGGAAATTGAAATAATTATCATTTTACATTAAGAATATTACCGTAGTTTACAATGTATTAAATGAAAATTATATAAGAGTTACATGAATGTTGAGAATTGTAAATGAGCAAAGAAATTTTGTTTTATTGCTTGCATTTTATTATTTTTATAATCAGATTTTACATTCGTAAATGTATTTATAGGTTTCGTAAATAACAAAATGTTACACCAACACTCGATTGTACTAATATTTATTATTTGTATACTTACTAATTTTAGTATATTTCCTATATGATAGGTACTGACTGAGTCCATACAAAGCTATATACATTATGCTTTTTAGCACTGGTAAGTAATTTACTTAGAAATATATATCTTCTGATGACGTTTTTAATAAAAAAAAACAATACTGCGTATCAGAAGACTTTATCAATAATAAACGAAAATTAATTGAGATTATAGGTTTTAATTTTTTTCAAGTATTATTGTCAAAGATTATATTTTCTATAATCACAGACATAGGAAGTCGCACAGGCAATAAACAAAAGAATAAATGTTCCTGTGCGTCAAATGCACGGTAGTGTGTATAATGTTTTTTTATGATTAATTTAAAATCAAATATTGCCATTCTGCACTCCCTCTCTAAATAAGTATGCGAAATTTAACTTCTTCGTTCGCGCAACATTCGTAAAATGCGTACAAAGTTTTTGCTTCGCGTAAATATATAGATTCTTAATTTAAATTCCCCTGCACTCACTACCATTTTCGTCCAGTGAAGCTGTAACGGCCAGCTGCAGCAAACGGTATTCGAATAAAAATTCTTAATTTTAAATAATAGAACATATTTTAGTTGCAATGTTTATATTTTTTTAATTCATTGAGTATATATTAGTGTAGGTAGGTATAAAGGTTGTTAGGCAATTTGCTTCTTTGTTATTTTACATGTTGGGCATTATGGTTGCAATAGCATATTACATTTTAGGCACTATTCTTAAAACGAAATTTAATATCTATATACATATATACACACTCTCTCCTCTAATGAGGCCCTACTTCTTACACTATCTCCCTCCAATATCATGGATAAATCTCTTATGTATATATATATATATTTTGTATTGTATATATATTTATATTTTGTTGCATTTTGTTTATGTTTATAATTTTGCACCGCCAACAATTATTCTCTGCACCACCAATGGTTGACTGGTAGAAAATGCCGCATGGTGTTAAGTCCGCCAAATATACTATACTATATATTATATTGTGTGCATTAAAGTTAAATAAATAAATAAATACTGTACGTTGTATAAAATGCACAGATTTTTAAAAATAAATGTTGTTAAATTGTGAAATGGAAAATCAGCAGTTTGCAGTGTGCAATGACCCGGCATTCGTCGTAGTTGTCGACTATTCGAAACTACTCGTGAACAAATCAAACTTTAAATGAACGTATTCGTACCTACCGGTGTTTATCGGAGGATACTTTCCTAGTTATAACTACGTTTCATTATATAATAAATTTTGTTTCATTGTATTTGTATAAATAATAAATCTACCGTCAACACTTTAATCCCAGGCGGAACTATCAAAGATTGCCTAAAAAGCAAGGTTCTGTTATATAATCTACATAACTTTTTACTATAAATGCAAGTTTATTTTCTTATAAAATCCACCTAGGAATGCAAAAATGTTTCGCTTAATATAATTGCAAAGCATTGTATTTCGATAGACTTCAAATATAACAAACTTCAAATATACATAACAAAAAATAATGTTTAATAAGTTAATATAACGTACAATAGCTTCACTAGTATATAATTTATAAATTAGTATAACCTCCCAAGCAATGCATTTTAATAATTATAATTAAAAAAAAGTTCCTACGCGAGTATTGAATAAATGTAATTGAGATTTTCACCTATATTAAAATCTGTCATAAGTACAAAATAATCCTAATGAAGTAATTCAAAATAAGTTTTTCTCTGTATATATTACTATTACAATGTATTATTGTATTTTCATGTTCATCACATATATCATATGATTGTCTATTATTACCTATTTTACAAGTGGATCCGCGCCGCACTACTTCGTCTTTTTTATGGTGTTAACCATACCGGCTTTATATTTTGCCAGTTTTTGCTACGTTTATGGTTGAAGCTCCGCTCCTCTTAGTTGATATATTGTCTTATCCTTCATCGATAAATGGGTTTAAAAAAATTTCAATATCGGATCATTGGTATTGGAGGTTACTTTGAACAAACTAATTTATGACTTCTTTATTATATTAATGTACATTAAAGTCCTTAAAAGTAAAGTTAATGTATATTATAATTATTACTGTATATAAATCTTAATGTTCTTAAATAGTTAACTTTTTAATTAACCTGATGATAAAGTCGTGGACAGGAAAATTGCGCACCCTCATTAAAGTATGATTTATTTCAAAGTACCCTCGAGATTAACAGGTGGTTTTTGGATACACCTGTTTAAGAATGTTTTTTCCTTAAAATTTTTATTTAATTTTAACCGCATCTCTTTTTTGTACACATAAAAATTTTGGACTACAAACAATCAAGTTTTTGTTTTAATTTCAAAATTCGACAGTGTATATTAAGGTATTTATAGTTATGATACGTAATAGTTTTATTACTAATTTATATTTTAAAATGGAATAATGTCAATCTAAAACTGAGAAGAATTGTTATTTTTTATAAAAATGTAAATATAATAATTACCCGATCAATTAATGAAAGAACAGAGAAAGCATTTTATGTTTAACAGAAGAAATAAAATGTGCAACACTGTTAATGAGCATCGAGTATATACTAAAAGCGTTCCTTCGTGAAATTATTTTCATAGTGAGAAACGAGAAAATTGCGTGTTATGAAACAAAGGGAGAATTGTAAATTAGTAAGCATTTATTAAAACGATCATTTTGTTATGTAATTAATCGTTTAAATTCTGTTAATCTTCAATTATACAATATTAAATTTGTATAATATTTTTTTGTTTTAGTTTTGTTTGTATTTATACAAAACCTTCATTACATAGTATAAAGCAAAGTCGCTATCGCTGTTTGTCCGGCCCTATGGTATGCTTAAATCTTTAAAAGTACGCAACGGATTTTCAAGTGGTTTTTTAATAGATAGAGTGATTCTAGAGGAAGGTTTATATATATAATACATGTACACCCGTGCGAAGCCGGGGCGAGTAGCTAGTAAATATATACCTATATTTTTTAAGATTATTGCCGGTTTTTCTAAAGTAAGTCACTTAGTTAAATCTACATTATGAATATGGCAGTAGGATAAAAATAATGACAATTCAAAAATGTTTAAATATGTGTATACGAATAAAGATTATTTTTATAAATTTTTATAGTTGTTCAGAAATAAAGAATAAATATTACACTATGTCACATTTACAATTGATGTCTATCTGTTTATTTTTATTTGATTAGATCCAGTATTTCTAAACCACAAATAAACCCGTTGTGAACATAATGACAATGCTCTCATTTTGTTTAGGTGATAAGATGACTAATAAACAGTGCAAAGTGAAGCCTACATAGTAGAAGAGATGATAGAAATCGAATTTGTATCGATCGTGGAATGAATGAATGAAATTTGAAAGATAATTAATTTGGGGACTGGACAGAAGATGTTACGAAAACCGGCAAGACCTAAATGCGTATGGCGAAGATCAGAACTAATGGATACTCCATATGGAAGTTGATACACAACTGCATGTGCTAAGTTCGAAGCCGAAGATAACGTTAATGAAAAAATGAATGTAGTAAAAATAATATAATGGGTATAGGACATGTAAAACGCAAAAAAGCAAAGACAGTATATGAAAGAATTTAAAACAAAATCGTAGTAATCAAACGAATACGAATATAAATTTATAAATATTCAAATATGAGTGACATACCCTGCTAGCAAGCGGCCCAAATCCAAAGGGTCATGAACACATAATTATAATTTCAACCCTAGAAGTTGAATAAGATCTGTTTGTTACGTCATCGCGAGAAAGTGAGTGAGTGAATATGATTTTCAAGGAAATTTTATAAATGTGTAGATTTCAATTACACTTTCAATTCTGAAATATATGAAGTCACATATAATGTGTTCATTATTGTTAAACTATTGATATAAAAGCAATAGTATCTATCTGTCTGTCTAATTAATACGTCTTCAAGATTAAAGCAGAACTGATCTCGTGAAATTTTATCTCTATTATCTTAAAAAAAAAATAATAAATTTATATTTTTAATGTATACAGGGAAGAAATAGAATGGGTACTAAGATTTATTCTAAGTTTTGTTGTCAAAATATGAAGTTAACAAAATTGTACAAGAATAGAACTCTAAAATCAAATACAAATTTAGAAAATAAATAATATTTTTGATTACCCAATTATAACAAACAGGCTATAAATTAATTTTAGTACCTCATACGTAAGAGAATAAAATGTACTATATGGGTAAATAATTTTGAATGTAACTTAGCATTTGGAGATTTTTAACTGTTACTTAAACAACTAAAAATTTTATACTCGAATTACTACGTATCTCCAAAAACGTCTTCTATAGAAATGAATGTTTTATCCTAATGCCTTTCTAAAATTAAATTGTGTTGCTAACGCATTATTAAATACTGTAGACTAGAATAATATAATTATTCTGACAGCGTACATATAATTGAATTTGTCATCCCTAAGATAATTTTAGCCATCTTTGACGACACGATCTATATAAAGCTGATTGTACAAGAAAGGATAAAATAACATGAAGTAATAGAAGGCACCAAGTTATCTTTACCTATTCCTTAGGACACGCAAAAGTAGATATTTAAATATTTCATTTTCTTTAATTAATTATATTGTCTTGTAATTTAATAATTTTTAAATATATCAGATATGTACATTACATGCATTTCATTATGAATACTTTTTTTTAAATAATTAATTATCTTGTCTTGAAGTGCCCATATATCAAGGCATGTTAATATAAATAAACTAACTTTCAACCTGTGCCTATTGGAAATAATTTAATGTATTATATTTACAAGTTATCCATATTTTATAGTAATTCTTTTGTTTTATATCTTTTAATTTGTATTAATAAAATACTTCCAACAATATCTCTTATTTGCACTTTCTTGTCATTGAAACTTAATCTTCATTGAATGTATAATACCTGTTTATAAAATATTTATATTTTGTATGTTATAGTAACTAAGTAAGTTAAAAGAAAGTAAGTTTGTAATTTAATTGCATTTTTAGTATGGATGTTTTGAGACAGCTTCCCTAACTCAGAATGAATTATGTAAAGGTTTTTACAGTGTAAAAGATTTAAATATTGATCTATGTCCATTGCGTCATTCTACATTTTTATTAAAAAAAAAACAGTAAATTATATTAAATAATAAAATTTAAATGTTTTATTAAATTTGGTTTGATTTTTTTTGGATCTGTTAGACTATAATGAAATATCTATAACATACTTTTTCAATCGTATCGTTTTTGTTTTTGGATCGGGATATATTTAAATTCTCTCCACTTCATGAGTATACTATTGAATATTCAGTACCGATTTTAATTATTCCTTTTGTAATGAAAAGTGTTTGTACTCCTATGTCTAAGAATATTTTTAAGTTGTAAAGTATATTTGTTGTCTTGACATAATTTATATGTTAGCATTTATAAATTATATTATTATAAATTGGTGTTTATTATAAAAAATAGAATTAAAATTACATAAAAAATTATAAACTTACATGTAAAATCATCATACATCATCCAAAATCAACAGACACAAAACGAACAGCAAACCGGATGTAATTGTTTCATTAAGCTCCAAATAAACTCTCCCACAGTAATTCAGACTCGCACCTCAAACAAATCGAATTAAATCTCAAAGTTTCACAAACACTCTGCAAGTTCAACACACATCATTACGTGGTAACGCTACGCGGCACGCAAATGTGCGGCACGTACAAACACGATCAAAAGCTTTGGCGGCGCGCGGGCGACTGACTGGCTACGAATCTAGTCACCTACTACGGCTTCGCCCGCCCAAACCGCGCGCAGCTACGTAATGCCTGTTTCTCTTATTAATACTGTTGATTTCTATTTTCAACAGACTGTTGATTTTAAAACAATTATAATGGATGGCATAATTGTGTTAAAATGGAATTTAATCGATTGAGCATTTGATGAATGATGTTTAAAATTTTGGATATATTTCATCGAGTTAAAAGTTTAGTAACTAGACGAACGAGCTTTTCTGGCCGTTTTCTTCTAATAAATTATTTTTTTTAAGAGGCAATTCAAACTTTATATTAAACAAATGTTATGTAAAAAGCCTATTATAGGATAGATGAATTTATAGATGATAGCAATATACAGCAAGTATTATTTGCGGACAACATTATAATTTATATATATATATATATATATATATTTATACCATATAGTAATTTTTGTAGCAGTGACGTGGTCGAGTGGAATGAGTAGTCATGCTCACTAAAATGTCCAGACATGTGGCGGCGTGGTGGGCCGGGTCAGTCTAAAATATGGTCGAGCGCAGTGATGGCTGGCTCATCCGATATGAACGAGTGCTGCTTGTAGGGACTGGTCTGCTCTTATCGCTACGACTGATTTAATCTTATTGTGTTTTTATATTTGAGCCTAAATAAATTAGTGCTGGTTGGTAGTTTGTATTCACACGTTTCGACTTGTAAAATGTGAACTTACAAGGATTGTTTAAAAAAACACACAAGTTTCTTGCTTATTCTTCTTGTGATGGACAGCTTTATAGATTTTGTTGACTATTTAAAAGTGCTTAAATTAAGTTTATTTGAATAAATGATTTTCTATTCTATTCTATTCTTTTTATCGGCGAAGTTCCTATAAATTCCTATTAACATATATAATTTAATTATTATTATAATTTAAACATATATATTTTATATATATGTTTATAATAGACTCATCTGTAATGTAAGTCTATAGAATTCTGACATACGTTTATGTTAATTCGGTAGCCACTATTTAACTGCCGGAAAAAATTTGCAGATGGCGCTATATTTATTATATATATATTTTTTCTATTATTTTATTTTGTAGAAAGGAGCGTTTTTTTACGAATGACACAATATAAAATTCTCGTGTTACAATGTTAGTTACCTTACTTCTCCGAAAAGGCATGACCAATATTTATGAAATTATATATGCATATTTAGTAGGTTACTATTTATTTTTATACTCCTAAGCGACAAAAATTAGCCACTCCTAACATTTTCTATTTTTTTATAATGTGCCATTAAAAAACATACAAAGCCTAATATTCACCCTTCTTCGCGGGGTCAGCTAGTAATAGATAAACATAAAAAACAGTTCAATATCCAAATGCAATTAAATTCAAATCATTATAATCATTTCTGATAACCTTGCAATATTTATAATTTACTTTACTTTGCAATATTACGTTTTATTTACTTCAGATTAATGGACATGGAAATGTTATTAATAAAAATTAAATTAGATGTAATTAACATATCAAATACACCTACATATTTTCTTTTCGTCAACATTAACAAGATCTAGCTGCAAGTCAGTAGATATACGATAAAATAGCAAGCCACGCTACAATAAATGCAATTAACATTCATGCTAATATTATAAATGCAAAAGTATGTATGTCTGTCTGTCTTTTTGTTACCTTCTCTATCTGTGACGTCTGAACGCATTTTAATGAAATTGTAGATAAAAGCAGATTTTATAGGCAATTTTTTATCTAAAAATAGGGTGAAATAGGAGATGAAAATTTGTGTAGTAGAAGTCGCGGCTAACAGCCAGTGTACTATCCATATATAAGATCAATTGTTCGCATCTATGATACATTCGGAGTGTACAGATAAAAAATATGGTCTCGGCACCGTATAAAATCAATTCCTTCTTTCATTTTCCTGCAATATTTGACAAACCATCACGGCAAACCGCCTCACCAGAATATCAATCATGTCATCCCGGTAAATTTTCCCACATCCGGTAGAGCACCTTAGGGTCGGCTATAAGCTCGCAACACCATATTCTGACGACAATAAACTTGTCACTAACATGGTGACAAGGTAATGAGGATTAATGGCATGGTATAATAACAAACGAACATGTGGTAGGAGTGTTGGTAAACATTCAGGATATTATAGCTCATTTTATATATCCACCAGCTGTTATTCAGGATTCCAATTGTTTTTCTTTACATGGAAGGTAGCATATCTCCTTCCTTGTCATACATTGTATGAAGAAGAATGATTTAATTATTTGTTTGAATATACCAATAATAAATAAATAACCCTGGATAATTAACACAATGTCACCTAGCCCCATGGTAAGTTTGAGTTAACTGATATAAATACTTTTTTTTTAAATGCATACTAATGCATTTACAAAGTGTATTGTATCAGTCTGAACTGATACAGACAATTATACTCCTGAATACAAATGTTTGCATCATGCGAGCAATCCTACCAGCGACCAACGGAAGTAAAACGGTGTGCTAAACTGACCACCAAGGTCGTTGTTTGTTTGTAATCATCATCATCATGATCAGCCCACTGCAGTCCACTGCTGGACCTATGTCCAGGCGTGCCTTGGCCTATGCTAAGGCACGCCACTGGGCATGATATTCAGCCCTTCTCTTCCAGATTACCCGCAACCCTACGTATGTCGTCGCTCCACCTAGCTAGCTACAGGACGTCCTACACTACGTTTGCCAATTCGCGGTCTTCACTCTAGAACACGCGTACTCCAGCGTGCATCGCTTCTGCGACAGATATCACCAGCCCACTGCCACTTCAACTTGCAAATACGAAGAACTATGTCGGTGACCTTAGTTCTCTCGCTAATTACTTCGTTACGTTACTTGTTTGTAATATATTAACATAAAAAAGATTTTTACCTATGACATCAAGTTATCAGCGCGTAGTTTAGCACGTACATTTATGAAGCTAGTACTAGAATATTAAAAATATACTTTTGTCCCTTCTGAAGGTGGAGAAGGCATATCTTCACGACTATAATTTTAAATATGGTAGACGACTGTGAACACACTTGACATGTCTCCAGCGTATATTTGAATGCAGCGTGGCAAGGACCAAACTTCTCGTCTCGCATTAATGAGGTTTGCATATCAGTGCTTCCATAACGAAGTCAGAAACATATATTGACACATTCTAGTGTCAGATATATTCAAACCCACGAACTTTAAAAAGTATAACGTCCTATGCGGGAAGAAAAAAATAATGACTATTTGAGTTATCGTTTACTTACACGCGTATCTTTAAGATGCTAGTGAAGTAAATCAGTCGTTTACAAAATTGCGATAAGAGAACTTGGGGTCTGTAATGAAAACTGTTCATCTGGAAGAGAAGACGATAAGCTGTGACTTATATAGCCTTTACACAGTTGCAGCGGTTAGATATAGTAGAATATCAAGATTTGATGTTATTAATTATTTAACCTTTAGGTCAAAGATATTTTCTAAAGTATCCAAACGAAATAAACACACAATCATCAAATATAACTATGCTTCCTATGGAAGGATCGTTGTATCGATCTCTATGGAACCGTCTATGTTATATGTTGATAATATTAATTTCTATATATGACAAAAGTAATTTTTTTAACAGACAACCATTAAAAAAGATATTCGGTACACACTACAACATTATAACATCTGAATCATTGTGAGACATTTTCACAGAACGACGGATTTTACAGAATTTAATAAAATATGATAATCATTTGAAATAAATATATGTAGTTTTAATACAAAATATTGGCGCATATAAATACGTCAACTTTTAATTCTTAAATGTTTTTCTTGTGAGAATTCTTGCTTTTATTTCCAAATAATAATTGTTACTTGTGAGAATTACTTAAAATACGTTAAAGTATTTTTTTCAGAATTGGTGAAAATGTCGCCTATCATATAACGTAATTATATATTGTTATTCTTATTGATAATAATAGAATTATGCACCCACTTTAACCATTTACGCATCACGGACATCAGTGGAGGATGAAGAGATGAGCAGTTAGCCCATTCTGGTAAATTCACCATGATTTTATTATGATAATTTCCAGGGTAAGCCACGTGTAGGGCAACCTGACGTGGTACATTGTTCGCAATCGGATTATTAGCCCACACTACTAAAAATCCCCTTCCCCCCATAGATTTCATTTCCCTTTTATTGAATCTGCTAGAGTTAAGGTTTTACTGTACCGGAAATAAATTAATATTAATCAAATATGGCATAAAAGAACTAAGTTAACTAAATATTTAAATGTGGACATAAATTACTAAGTAAGTGACTATCAAACAAGACTTGAATTAAAATTACGCTATCTATAGTAAGCAGATGGTTTAATTACATTTACATTTGTAACCAACCGCGCCTTCATCACATTTTGGTGTTAATAAATCCCAGATTAAAATCTAGTTACTCTTTGAAAACGTCATTCTCCATTAACTGAGATTCTGAGATTACAAAGATGCTGTTTTAATTTATATAATTAATTATACAGAATTTAAGGAAATAATGATAATTATTAAAAATAAGGTATTTTTACACATTACCTTGTCTTGTCGCCGTAGGGATCACTAGGGGTGTGTGGGATTCTTACCCACTGAAAACCCACACGCTGTACAGCTTAGAGCGCCATTGCCAGAGTCACGAGGTCTCGTTGGCATAACTACCGCAGCTCCGGCGACGTTAGCGGGTCCTGTAGATGATGTATCTCATTGTTGGGGCGCCCTATTTCGCCCTACGTAATTGTGGAAGCGTGTGGGTATACGCGCACGCCTCTGGCCCCATTTGATTGAGGCGGTGCCTCCCTAATGTCTACCTGCTGTAACTTGTTCTATATTCTGAAAACATTGACTAGTGACAAACAAATTTATCAGTAACTATTCGATCGTATCCACACGCATGGGAGAGAGTAAAACAGCAAATATTGTTATCTTCTTGTAACTTATATGTG